GGCCAAGTTGTTCCTGGCCTTTTGAGCTTTAACTGATTAGCTCATTAACTCTGTGAGTCTTTTCTGGCTCTCTAGTTTTTACTGGTTAATTCTTTGAGTCCCTTGTAGTGGGCTTTACTGGCTTTAATTCCCTCTTCACCCTGCTCATATCTATTTTCCTGCCTAATACCTCAATACCACAAAAATTGATTGTAATAAATAGATTTTTGTGTTCTTAGGATAATCCAGCATCATAAAGATATAGCTCTCAAGTTAGCATGTAAATTAAATGCAATCCCAATAAAAAGTTTCTATAGAAAAATAAATCATGAATAGAAAAGAAAACCTTGGAAAAGTAGGAGAGGTAAGGAATAACTCTGCCAGATGTTACAACATAATATATAAAATCTCAAATATTTTTTATTTAAAACAGTGCATATTTGGCACATGAATAGATAGATCAGTGGAATATATTGGGAATCTAGAAATCCTAAAATATAAAATATAGTGCTTGACAAAATTGGCTTCTAAAATAAGCATGGGATGGTACATTTTACTTTTTAAAAATGTAACTGGGTATACAAATGGGTCAGAAATAAGTATTTAAAATAAATGAAGCCCTAGATTTACTAGTGTAAAACAAGGTTTAATGTCTTTGGAACATTGGAAACTCTTTCTAATATGATTCAGAATTCAGAATTAGTAACAGATCAGACTGATAAATTTAAATACAATTTTTAAAAAGTCTATGTGAATATTTAAGAGAAGCTCTGTAAGCAAAATCAAAATGATGAACTAGAAGAAAATATTTCCAGTTTTTTTCCCAAAGGGATGTCTCCAAATAGCTCTTAAAATTTGAGAAGACTATATATTCATAGATAACAGGGAGATAAATGAGGATCAATTCAAAGATAAGAAAATGACCCATAAAAATATTTTTTCCTAAAGGGATGTCTCCAAATAGCTCTTAAAATTTGAGAAGACCATATATTCATAGATAACAGGGTGATAAATGAGGATCAATTTGAAAATAAGAAAATGATCCATAAAAATATGAACACATGCTCAGTGTCACTTATGTGAAGAGAGATATGTCAATTACAATGAAATACCACTTACTATTACAACATTGGCAAAGATCCAAAAGTTTGACCATACACTTAGTTGGCAAAGCTTTGGAGAGCAACCATTCTCATGTATTGTTGATATGCATTGTAACTTTGTGGGTAAAATCCCAGGAAAATACCTTTGAACTGAAATCAGTCAAAGAGAGAAATAAAGTTTATTTCTTATAAGCAGTCGTCCACTTCCTCTGTGTTTCTGGTGACCAGGCTGCAAAAGCAGCCCCCACCCAACCTTGAGGTCCAGATAAGCCCTCACTTGCCCTAGTAATTGTAAGATAAATTCTAGCCGAAATAAGCAGGCAAAGAGAGGCAACAAAGGGCCAGGTAATTTATTTAAATGGCTCCGGGTGAGGTTCTGCAGCCTGGCTGTCACAGGCTGGGGAAGTCACACGAAAATAGACAGGCAGCAAGTTTTTAAAGGTAGGGGGAGGCAGAGCTTAGATTTACAGCGGCATGAGGATTGGCTAGCCTAAGGCATATTTTTCAGGTTGGGAGGGGCAGCAGCTCGGTATTTTGGCATGTCTTCAGTGTCTGACGTGCTCACCCCTACCCCCAATGCCTTCAACCTTACATTTCAGCCTTTTGGTCATAATGGGCAACAACTTGATCTGGCTACTTCTGGCTGACAAGGGGCATTGCTGGGGCGAAGTTTCATAGCAAGTAGTTACATTGCTCTGACAGCAAACATCTCACCCTGCTTTCTTTAGAGGCTTTCATTTCACCCGGTCTACGCTTATGGTTTCTGTTTCACTTTCTCTTCTACAGATAGAGATTCTAGCTGCTGTCAGGGAAAAGGGGCAACGACCGCTCTGGCTGCTTCATGCTGAGAAGGGGTGCAGTAAAGGGTGCAGCTAGTTTTTTATCACTGGTCAGTTGAGAGGGCTTCAGAAAGTTGGCACTTTGATTCTGGAAGGACAAATTTGATGAGATTAAGAATGCATGGCTGAATATGAGAATTAGAAATATGAAGAGTTTAATTGAGAATTATAGCCAGGTATTATGGGGAAATTAAAATTTTGGATTGAGTTTACATCTCAATGACTTGTATTAGGATTTAGTATAGATAAGACTGCATTATTGGAACAATACTTTTCTCTAAAATTACCCTTATTTTTATTAGAAGTAACTAGATTAAGAAAATAATTAACACTTGGCTTTATTATTTGCATAAGTGCAGCAAGAAGAGCAATTGATTACATAGGCTCTTTTAAATGTGCTTTGCTGGAACTTTTTGTAAGGAATTTCAGATTGAACTTGTAAAGGCCTCTCGAGGCCAGAAAGCCAAGTAAAACTTGCCATCAGGTTGTGCCTGCAGTACCTGTAGATTTGGGTGAACTCTTTTCTTCTTGAGGTTCCCAAGACATTCCTGAGGTTCCTATACTTGCCAGGAAGTGACCTTCTTTACTCACCTGGTAAGGCTGCTGGGAACTCTGTAAGCAAGGTACCAGGCTAGTTCTTCTAAGGGGCTTTGTTGACTTTATAAAGTCAATCTTAGTTCCTTAAAGCTGTCTATTCATATATGAGTTTACACACATGTTTCTCAGGTATGACATTCCAGTCAAAGCTTTGGTAATATAAGTAGTGTTTTTAATTGATCCTCTTACAAGAAAAGCAGATTCTTATTGAACTTGTGCAAATAAATATACTGCCATGAAATATAAAAATAGTCACTGAGAGTTTTTAAATTCTGGAGGGATCAGGTAGAGAGAAAGATAAAGTTTCAATTCTGCTTATAAAGGCAGTCATTTACTAAACTGTTGTCAGTTTAAGAGAAAAAGCTTAAACACTTTATCAAGAACATTTGAAACAAAAAGTCACAAAATCATTTTCTTTAGTTTACTCAATTTTATGTAACTAATACTTGTTCTGCTGAAATCTAGTTTTTTACTAGTTTAGGAGTAATGAAACTGAGTATAGATGACAAAAGACTTACAAATGACAATGGTTAAAGATCTGATGAGAGCTTACTGTAAGACAGTTGTCATAAGGAAATTTGGATATTTTTGTAATACAAAACATTCAGTAACAAAGTTTAGCATCATTCTCTGTGACAGTGCCTTCTAGGTAATTAAGCAGGTAAATAAGCCAAATTAGCCAAATATTTTCCTCAATGAGAAGAAATTTTTCTGACATGTTCTAGGGGTCCTTTGGAAAATAGAGTGAACTAGAGGTAAAAAGTACTTTTTTGAATTTGATTTTGGGAAGCTGTTAAAAGTTTTAAGGCACTTGCTTAAATAGGATTATAGGTTGCTATGAAGCAATACTTATCTATTTAACCAGAATGACAATAAAATACCTCAAAGGAAAATAAAGAAGGTTACACAGTTGTTAGCAAATTTTAGCTTTTAGTCCTTTTAATATTAAGATCTCATTTTTCTTAAATATTCTGACAACTTATTGAGACTTTAAGCTTGAGAAATTGCTTTGATAAAACAATTAGAGAACTCATTGCAATTTTTTAATATTAAGAGCAGATTAACAGTTAAGAAAACTTTGTCTTTTTAACTGAAAACAAAATTTTAATTTTGCTGTGTACTTGATACTGAAATTTATTTGCTACACTTATTTAGTTCACTTATTTTTAACTATGCTAGGTTATTTATAAGACCTTTACTGAATATTAGACAAAGCCAAGCCTTTAGGCATTTATTCTTAAAAGATTTAGCAGATAACATCAACTTAAATGACATTAGGTAAACTTAAGCAGCTGATAACAAGGACATGCCCACCTCAGCTAAACTTAAATTAGCATTAATGCTTAACATTTTTTATCAGATTTTCTGGAAGTTTTAGAATGCCTAATTTTCACAAGTGCTTGTTTTTAAATCAATTTTTATTAATAGCATCCAGAGGTAGGAAAATATTTCTCATTTACACACCTAGACACACAAACATACAAACCTGAGACACAACGACTACAGTCAGCAACACTTTTTACATAAAAACATATACACAGATACACAAATTGATATAAAGACTTGAGTTACTGATATCTAATTGTTTTTCTTCAGCTTCTTGTTTGTGGCTTCTGGAACTAGAGGGTGGGAGGAGCATGTTCTGGTGGGGGAAGAGGGCGGTGAAGGTGGATGGAGAGGGGGAGGGGGTGGTGCAGCCACCGGAAGAGGAGAGCAGGACAATGGAATGGTTGAGAATGTAGGACTTTAAGATGGCGGTGACACGTGTAAAAACAAAGGACTTAAAGATGGTGGTGGAGAGAGGGGGAGGGGATCACGAGCTGAGGGAGGCAGGTGACTGAGGTTTTCTGGCAGGTCTGAAAAGGAAGGACTGGGCAGAGTAAGAGGCTGACAATCTTTAACTGGAGATTGGGCCAGGAAAAACTGAGTCATTGAACAGTTAACATAAAGGTCTGGGCAGGAGTGCAAAGTCCAAAAAGCCTGCACATATGGGATGTCACTCTACTCTCCGCTCTGGTGGCAATAATTAGTTAAGTCGGTGAGGAGGCCAAAATCGAAAGTTCCCTCAGGGAGCCAGCAAGATTGTTGTCCAAGCAATACTGAGGCCTGGCCTCAGAGCAAAGACTAGCTTCCGTTTGCAAACTTCCCGGGACACTTCCTTTGCCTACAGCCAAATTAGAAATGAGACACTGCAGCGGGGTCTGAGCCTCTGCTTTTGAGGGCTGGTTCCTCATGTCTGCGCCACTTCCCAACTAATCCCACTGAGAGGAATGCCCAGTGTCCCAAGAGCACCAAGTCAGGGGAGACAGCCTGGGAGCCTGAGTGAGGGACGTCTCCCCCACTGTAGGGCCAGGGGCAGGTATCCTGGATACTCGCAACAGATGGGCTGAATGCCCAGACCTGGACGTATGCACGATTTATAATGGACCAGGTAAAATGGAGTTAGGAAGGGAAGCAGACCGGGAGAAACTGAGGGACTCACCGGAAAATAGTCCACGCAGCAGAGAGCAGGCTGAGTTTCCCGGTTGGGGAAGGAGGGGGCAGGGCCACTGATGGCCGGTCGGGGCCCCGCGGTCACGCTCCTTTCTGGAATTTTGGCACCAAATGTAAGATAAATTCTAGCCGAAATAAGCAGGCAAAGAGAGGCAACAAAGGGCCAAGTAATTTATTTGAATGCCCCAGGCGAGGTTCCTCAGCCTGGCTGTCACAGACTGGGGAAGTCACATAGAAGTAGACAGGCAGTGAGTTTTTAAAGGCAGTGGGAGGCAGAGCTTAGATTTACAGCAGCGTGAGGATTGGCTAGCCTAAGGCACATTTTTCAGGTTGGGAGGGGGCAGCAGCCGGGGACTTTGGCACGTCATCAGTGTCTGAAGTGCTCACCCCTCCCACCAGTACCTTCAACCTTACAGTAATTACCTATTGATATGGAGATGGACTACTCCTCTCCATTCCCTGGAAATACCCATTGTATGGAGATACACTAAAGCTGCACGAGAGATTCTGGAAATATTGCAGTTTTACCTACATGCATGAAAAATTACACAAATTCATTAGAGGATGACTATTTGGCACTATCAAAAAAATAACATGCATTTTCCCTTAGTATGAGGAATTCCACTGACTGGAATCCATCCTTAAGGTAAATCTAAATAAATATGAAGCAAAATATGCACAAAGTTTTTCATATAGGTTATTTTCAAAAGCAAAATAATTGGATACCAAATAAATGCCTGTCAAAGGGGAACTGTAGCACACCCTCAATTTAATGAGCTTATTTATATAAACATTGGTTTTTTTGGGGGGGCAGGTTTAATCTAACAATTCTGTCTACATCATTATGAATAGTGATGCTTTTGCTTCTTCTGGAAAACTAACTTATAATTCTTAGACCGGATTTTTATACTTTTTATATATTATCTTATTTAATTTTTAATCTCTATCTGCATTCTGGACAGATTTCTCAGATTTCCCCCCCATAACACTGACTTGGTTTTTTGTAGTTAAATCCAATTATGACTACCTGCCAGCCTCCTTTTCCATCTTAGTTCAGTCGGTTTTATCTTTAAGACTTCTTGTTTTTGCTTCCTATAACTCATTTCCTTCTGTATTATTTTGAGACAAGCTTCTGCTTGCTTAAAAAAAAAAAAGTACACATATATATTTCACTTGTGAAGATTATTTTCAATTTTTTTTCCCTGTGATTATTAAGTATAATTTCCTTTTTCTTCAAGCTGGGGCAGTAATTCATAGATGTATTTTTGTCTTAACTGGGTAAAGTGGTTGCCCTCAGGGTAGATGCCACTTTTCACAACTCCTGTCACTATTTACTTGAATGGTAGGTGGTTTATCTTCTCATATTTCAGCCTGAAGTACCACCCTAAGCTTGATTTGCAATTTGTAACGTAGTTCTGTAAACGGATCCTCCATTATCTGCTTCAATGCTATGATTTTCCTGTTCCAATATTCACTTACTGTTGGAATTCTTCTTTGAATATGAAATGCTATATCTTTACTTCTTGCCTAATACTGCTCCTTGCTGTCTTGCATTCTATACTTTTGAGTATAACATTTGGATCAGCATAATTCTACTTAGATATAAGAGGGAGTGAAGCCAGTATGTGTTGGACGTAGGGCTGTTCTGATTTTTTGTGTCCAGTCTTTTTTGGGGGATTTATTTTGGTCCAAAATGTGGACATTTCTATCACAAGAATGGGTCATGATTTATTAAGCAGACATCTACCTGGATTTAGGCCTACAGCATTTTTTAGGTTCACTCTAGGTTACTGTTGAATCTTCATGAATACTTTAATTGTTACTGGTAGGAACAATATTACAGAGATAGGTTACCCCTACCAATTAAATCCTGAAGCCTCAAAGCATTTTCTAAAACCTTCTTTGCAATGGTAACAATGTTCAGAGATCTTTTCTCCTTCTAGATCATAGAGAAAAACTTCCTTGCTTGTTTGCAATCAATTTGCATACGGTAGCCTTATATTTGTGTCCTTTATTTCCTACCTTTCCACCTTCCTTCCACATGTTCTTCCTTTACTCATTTTAAATGAAAAGCAATCAATACAAAGCAGTGTGTTTAATAGTGTGCCTGCCTGTCCTTGACCACATACACTGCCTAGCTGGGTTTCTGGTTAGGTCTTCATTTGGTGTGGGTGTGTATAGCCCCTTGCCTGGATCTCTGCATTGAGATGGCATTTGTCCATTGTGACTTTGCTACACCTGAAATTGTCTACTTTCAGTACCTGTTTTTGTGACTCCCACATATAGTACAAGAAAACATTTCCATCTCAGCTTACACTCATGAGTAATCAAATATGCAAAAGGAGCAGCCACTTCTCAGTTTCAACCTAACTTCTAAATGACAGCTTTCCTAATTTACATGTATGAACAGATGCATACATATTCCATTTTCTGGAATCTTCCATTACAAAAAAATATTGATAATGTCCAAATCTGAAGCCACTCCACAATGTCAAACTCATAACAATGGTAAATCATATAAAATATACAATTAAAAAGTGATAACTTTTCTCAAAAATAAGAATTTCTGTGGATCAAATAGAAGGCCTACTGTGACTGTTAGTGAGGTAGAGCAGGAAAATGGAACAAGGGTCATGTCATTGTAAAAGCTACATAGCCAGGGAAAAAGGCTCAGTTTATTCTTTAATTTACTCTATATGCTGTTCTTCCTCTTCTTCCAGCTCCTTAATTAAGTAACTTTGTAACCAGGGTAAGAGCTAGACCTCTGAAGTGTAAATGAACCAATGTAGGTAAAGAATGCAGAGATCTGCATCAACACTGTCACCTAATAACCTAACCCTATTCTTAAGACAAAACTTCAAAAGAATTATGAATCACCTGTATACATTACTCCTTATGCTTACCCCTACCCAAAAGGCCCTATAAAACTCCAAATCCTAAACCCTTAAGCATACCTTCTCCACTCTGAGCTTGCCCTCACTTCCATCTGACTGTGTACTACTGTCTTATATCAAATAAACTTTCTTGTTGCATAAGCCTATTGCACTTGTCTTTGAGTTCTTCTCCGTGATAAAGACAAGAACTCTCCAACCTCTGCCTCTGGTGGTAAATGTCTTTGTCATTTTGCTATTTCATGCAGCTTTCTAGTCTTAACACAATTCTTTTCTCTCTGCCTGTTTTATTTTCAGATGGGTAAGGAAGTAGAAGTTTTTTGAACATAACCTCACTCCATCCAGTGCTCTGTGACTCCCCCAAATCCTGGGTGGTAATGACTTAGTTCCCATGTTGTGCAGATTCAAGCAGACTCTGGCTGCCAGGTGATCCTGGCTTTAGTAGTTGGCAAGGGATCTGCCCTATGCCAGGCAGTTCAGTGAACTTCCCTTTCCTCCCTCTGCTTGTCCTTGTGCTCTACTGCCTGCACAGCTGCTGCCATTCACTGCTATTCTTGCTTTAATGAATTCCTTCCTTACCTACACTCATCCAACCTGGTTGAGAATTTTTTCTCCAACAGAGTTGAGAATCCTTTCCTGTCCAGGTTGAGGTTTCACCTAGTGCACAGGGAGAGACTTCCCCAGATGCAGCTGCCCAACAACACTAGGGATGAAGCTTCAGTGTGCTGGGCTCAGAGTACAGCTGCAGACAGCCCTGAGGTACACTACTGCTTGGTGGGAAACAGAATCCATATGTGTGATACTCCCAATATCCCTCAATGTAGGTGCAACTAGGAACCAACATTAGACCTCCATTTGGATGAGGAAACTGAAAGCATCTTTGGAGGAAAGCAAGCAGTCTTTATACAAAGACAGTTATTCCACCTTGACTTAATGCAATCCTAATCAAAATCCCAACAAGTTATTTTGTGATTATTGACAAAAATTATAAATTTTATACGGAGAGGCAAAAGACACAGAATAGCCAACAGTTGGCTTTGCAGATGGCCAGCCTTTTATGACTGAGTCTTCTGTTGAAGCTAACTAGATTTTTTCAGTTTCATTGTATTCTCCAGCTCCAGAATTTGTTTGGCTCTTTTTAAAAAATTTCTGTTTTTTAAAAATTAAACATTATTGTATCCATAGATTGTTTTCTGATTTCATTTAGTTGCCTGTGTTCTCTTGCATCACATTGGATTTCTTCGTCAGATCCCATTTCTTTGGAGTCAGGTATCAGAGCTTTATTAATTTCTTCTGGTGGTGCTGGTTTGCCTGGTTCTCCACATTCACTGTAGCCTTGCAGTGGTGCCTGTGCATTTGTCTACCTCTTATAATCCTCACAGACTGGTTTGGGCAGGTAAGGAACTTCTCCTATGAGGTTCCTGAGCTGATGAGATTGTCTCTGGTGTCCTGCTCAAATGGTGGGTGGCATCTAGTCACATGGATACTGTTCCTCCCACATCAGAGTCTATCACTGTTGGACCTGTTACCAGGGGGCTTGGGTAGGCATGGATCCTGTCAGGCCTCTGGGCATATGGAACTGCCTCCAGTACTTTGGTCAGTAGGGCTGGTGCTGGGATGAAGGCTCACTTCAGGATCTGCAGTTGGCTTTGCAGATGGCTAGCCTTTTACTAGGTACATGGATGGGTGTGGTTTCTGCCAGTTCCCTGGGAGGGCTCCTACTAGGTCACTGGGTGGGTTGATGGGCAGTCAGGACTGGCCCAGCAATGTGGCCGGGTGAGGCCAGGACCAAGTCCTAGGGCTTTTTCAGGGCCCACAGATGGGACTGCCATCTGCATGCTTGCCTCTGGGGGCAGAGACAGAGATTTCTTGCTTGGTTCCCTGGATGGGCAGGCCTGCTCTCAAGCCACAGCTCAGAGGGGATGCTAGTTCACAGGCTCCTACAGGATATACAGTAAGAATCAAGGTTGTTGGACCTGTTACTCAAAGTATCAGTGAATGAGACTCCTCCTTTGTCCCTTGGCAGATCTTTCTGGTGGCAGAATCAAGGCCAAATAGGGTTGTAGCTAACTCTTACAGGAGATGGGGCTATTTCTAGGTTTATAGTCAAGACTACAGTTGGTGAAGGCCTGCCATCTGGGCTCAAAATGCAAAATGGCCCTTTGCTATCTCAGGCTCCCCTGGGGTTTTTACAAGCTCCTACCTTGATCCCAAAGCTCTCAAAAAGGCATTTTTGTCTGTGGATGACTGCTAAATTAGTATTGCTATTAGAGGATATAAGTGGGATCCTCCTATTTAGCCATCTTCATCTTGC